GGGGGGGGGGGGGTGACAGAAATAAGAAGGCTGGGAAACACATAACCACTGAGTGTCTGATGAAGGCTTCTTTTGACTAGAATTGTTTTTTTTAATCTAATTTAAAGCCAGAAAATGACTCTGAGAAGTAGCTGTACGACACCTGCACTACTCCAGCAAAGTGGATGCATGCTCTGTAATATCAGCGAGCTAAAGATTCATCTGATTAATGGCCCTCAATGAAACGCATTGTTCCCTGGAGCTGAAGACAATGGGCTTATTGCTCCAGTTAAAGTCTATTAGTGCCTGCTGTTATCACCCAGGGTGTCCTCTCACACATTGCCATTGATCACAACTGCAGCTCTTAATGATGGCTGACAGAGCTCGGAGGTAGTTTTCAGGTTTTTTCCTCAAGAGGAAAGACATTATAAAGTAACAATAAGAATATGTAACACATTTAAAGCCCCCTGAAAATGTATTTTCTGATTCAGCTGGTTACCATGGATACATGAACAAAACCATTTTTCTGTGTCTGTGTTTTTTGGGGCAGGGCTCACTTTTCAATTGGAACCATTTTTTACACCTTTATTTAATCATGAACATCTGAAAGAAGCCAGGAAATGAGAGTACAGAGAGTTGGGAATGACATACAAAAGGACAGTGCAGTCCGTGGTCAGCGCCTTAACGCCTCTGACCAACAGGGTGCCCATGTCACGTACTTGTGTGCACCAATCAGGATTTAGCGACATATCTGATGAAATTTGGACAGTTGTTTGTCTCTGTCACTAAAACACACCCACACAGCCCTGATAAACCAGGTTAGCTGAGAGTTTTTGTTATTTCTTGTGTTGGCTTCATTTGCCAGCCAAGGAGACTGCCTCTTGTTTGCGTTTAATATGGACAGGAGGATCAATTAAAACAATTTAAGCAACTGAAAACTGTTTCAACGTACAATGGGCATATGAGTATTGTTTTATGGCAGACTTAAAAAAATGTGGACCTATTCTTTTAAAGAGGAAGATGGGCTGATCCCTTTAAAACTGATTAAATAGATACAAGTATCTCCAAGTAGGTTCAGGTCTCCAGCAGGTAGTCAAAGAAAGCATCTTGCTGTATGTTGTGGCTATACAAAAAACTCCCTGTCACTGGATCTAGTTTTATCTCATTCCAAATCTCAGATGCCCATTCATCTCTAAGATAAATATTTACTGTAAACCACAGAAGAGTTAAAGGAACAAGGTCAGAGAAGTTCATCTTCTGACTGGTGTGGAAAGACTGAAGTGTCTGCAGAAGAAATAAGTAAAATAGAGCTACAAAGAGAGATAGCATCAGCTGAGAGTTTATTAGAGGAAAATCAGGGAGGAAATGGGAGACAAGGATGTGTTTCAGAGAGGAAATGCGAACCAGTGTGTCTGATGTCTATAAACTTCACGCACTGTCATTATAGAGATAGGGAGCTGTCCATTCAGACTCTTGACGCCTCTCAGCAAACACTCCAAGGTCAAGGGTCGTGTCCAAGCCCCCAGGTCAGAGACTGGGTTAATTGGCGTGTGTTGGAGAGAAAGAGAGAGTGAAAGGACTCGGGCTGATCACAGGGACAAAAGAACCAGCAGTCCCTCCTCTCTTCTCTTTTTCTTTTCACTTTCTATGTCTTTTCTTCGTCTGTGGTGCGTGGGGGTGGAAGGAGGACCTGTAGGAAGCTCGTCTTGTGTGTCTGTGTGTCTGTTTACATGTGCATCTGCAGACATTTTCTTAAGAACATTTCATTTTGAACCAGGCAAAAGGGCACTACTTTTTTTTAAGAACCATGATTATATAAATGCTTTTGAGTGTCATTTAGCAAATGACTTTTCATCAAGTGATGTGATTGAGTTCAACCGAGGGAGGGAGCAACTCATTATTATTTTGGAGGAGGGGAGGAAGGCAGGGAGGATGGAGGGAATTGGGAAGAAAGCTAGGAAGGAAAACTTCACATGAAAGAGGATTGAGGTAAATCCTCTGTAATTCACCTTTCTTAGAGGTTTGTGTGTGTAGGAATGAGGTAACCACTGACGTCCTCCTGAGTGTGTGTGTGTGTGTGTGTGGGCAGGTGAGGGCTGGCATTAGGCAGTGGGAGTGAGAGAGTGTGTTCCCGAAGCCTTTGTATGCGACAGCCTCCGGAAATGTGCTGATGCCAGAACAATGGTGCGGTAAAGCCTACTAACCACCAGCACTGGAGACAGAGAGGGAGAGAGGCTGAAAAATTAGAGAGGGGGGGGGGGGGGAAACAATTGGGACAAAGAGAAAAGAGGGAGAGAAAGACTTTAGGCACAGAGGGAAGGGGTGGGGAGAGAGAGGGAACAGGTTTGTCTCTATGAAAGGACGGTGAGTTAGGTTTCCCCGTTCTGTTGGCAGAGGCTTTTCTGGATGAAAAGAAGAGGTTGAGATAGAGGAGGAGGACTCGAGGGGGAGGATGAAGGGCCAGGGAGGTGGAATAGGAAATGGAGATGGTCCCATTAAGAACAATGAGGCGGCTGGTACAGCGGTGAACCGAGAGGAGCTGCCATGTTCTTACAGTGCGGGCATGTTATATGTATGTACACATGTAATCGTTCATGGACTATATGGGTTACTGTATTTTGACCCGTCATGGTTAGGAATAAGCCTTGATCCGCAACTATCAGTTAATTGTGTTAATTTATACACAAACAAGCACTGAGCTTCAATTAGACATTACACAGACAACATCTTACTTCATCCTAGATGAAAAAGCATGTTAGTTTTCATTTTCTTATACGTTTTCAATACTGTCTAATTTTGTTTGTAGCTGTGTTTCCCAAAGAAATGTCAAGAAGATATAAACCCAAGTTAAGAGAAGAAAGGGTAGAGGAGGGACATGATTTATCTTTGATGTATACATATTATCATTCACACAATGAGTCAAGATATACGTAACAGCTTCAAAGATTGTGGCTTTATTGATTTTATTTTTTTTGATGCACATATTGCTACAGGCCACAGGTCAAATCTAATAACAGCTTATGTTATGCAGCTTGTTAAAAAGCACTCTGGGACACCTCCACACCTCTAATTATCTAATGGCAGACAAGCAGCAATTACAGTATGATACTGCAGCACACCAGAGTTGAAGGAAGATAAGGTAAGGAAGGAAGATGGAGACAATGAAAGGAAGGAAGAACACAGTGAAGGATGCAGTTAATGTGATAATTATTTTCTTGAGATATTTCAGATTCAGATTTAGTTTTCATGGATGATTACCTAACCTCTAGCCACAATGTGGTGATCTTGTAGCTCTGTAATTACACACAGGCGCACACACACATAGACACACACAACAGTCTAATAAAACCTATTGGCTTGTAAATGTAAGCCAGCTGTCTCATATTCCAGGTCACCTGCATTTGAACGATACTGACATGAGAATTCCCAAAAAGATGGCATGTTGTTGTTTACAGTATAGTGTAACATTGACCTGAAGTAGCAAAAGAGCAGCATTGGATGTGTGTGATAGGTCAGTACCTTCCGTATGTATTTTGAAAGGCCTGGCTCTCAAGGTAACACTACATTAACTTTAGTGTGTTATGTTTGATAATACACATGTGCACAGTAGAGTTTATAGCTGTACATGGGCCTAGAGGTTTTATTTCATTCTAAACTTGAGATTCTTTGTTTATTGACACATAAAAATGGGGAAAAAAGAAGCCATGTTACACATAAAAAAGTAAAAGATAAAATATTGCAACCCCATAGCAAATCAGTTATATATTAGTACATTACATAGTTTCCTAACTGTGATCCACCAGACGCTTCAACACAATGGCTGCTAGTCTAGTACCAATGTATTCTAAGAACGGGGACCAAATCTTATAGAATACCTTAATTTTACACTAAGACCTGTATGTCAAATACTCCATGGGTATTATGTCAAAAATAACCTTGTGCCACCCACTTAGTATTGGAGGTTTGCTGTCTATCCATTTCAACAATATATTTTTTAAACACAAACTTTCTTTTAAATCGTAGCCACTAAATTCTGCTAGCTGACA